TTTAAGAAAATATTTTCAGCAGTCATATTAAAGTTTTCCAACAGTGGGCTGCGGATATAGCTCAGCAGCATAAGCACCTGCTTGCCAAGCGTGAGATCATGAGTTTGATCCATAGTACCAACACAACAAAAAGTTATCCAATGGCTTATCAGAGACCATGTAGCATTTTTAAACTGTCTTCTAAAATTTATTTTAGAAAATTGTAAGGGGGGAGGTCACTAAACTTCCAATAAATGGCCAGAGTAAATATTTGCTGCTTTGCAAACCATAGTCTGTCACAACTATTAAGATTACAATTGTGGAAGAAAACAACCACGAGAAAATAGATGAATGTGGCCAGCCTCCAATAAAATTTTATTTATGGACATCAAAATCTGATACCATTCATGGGTCATGAGATATTCTTCTAGTGTTGAGTTTCTTTTGCCTGTTCCCTTCTGCGTCCTTCAAAGCAGTAGTTGGTATGACCTGGCCAGCACTCATAGTGTGCTGACTCCTGATTGACATAGCTGAAAGATAAACAATCCTGCTATCAAGTGAAATGGCAGAGTTCAGGGAAAGGCAGTGCAAGAGAAAAGAGATGGAATTGTTGAATTGCACGCATCCTATGTCTGTGTTTTCTCTAAAAGGCTTTGCCCTACTGAAAGTCTTGAGTGGACATTCATAGGGCTGTCCAAGGAGGTAAAAGTGTCAACCTGCAGTGTACCTGGAGATGCAACCTAACTAACCCCTAGTCCACACCTCTCTCTCCTTTATCTGTCACATACCAGAGCAGCAATTCTCCTGTCCTGAATCACTCCAGCCAAGGTACTAGGCAGCTGGAGATCATCACCCCAATTGCTCAAGGCCCACTGGAATTATTCACGCTTGCCAATCCCAAATATTCACCCTGCCCCACTTCTTTTTCCCAGAAATTCCTCCATACAGCCCATTTAGGATCCCGCCTCCTAATCCTGGCACTTCCTCTGCAGCCCCTCCTTCATGTATCATGCCCCCTTCTGATGCTCTCAAGCAATGGAAAATAAATCTTTCAGTTGTACTGGCCATTCTGCAGCACTTCTCACACATCCCCATAAATCAAAATCAGGTCCCAATGGGAAAGAGTGCCCCTACTCTACCCAGGGCCCAAGACCAGCAGCCATGGGGTCTGGGGTGCAACACTGGTCTACGCGTAAACGAGATCCCCAAACTCTATGAAGACTGCTGAAGCTGAAAAGCCCCTCATGGTGTGGTTGAAAACAGACTTTGGAATCTGAAGGTCTAGTTCAAATCCTTGTGCCTTCACATTCACTATCTGGCCTTGAAAAAATTTATGATTAATTATAGTCCTGTTTCCATACCTAAAAGTGAGGCTGATGATCACATACTCTGTGCCATATACTTAGAAAGTACCTAGCAAATATTACCATGTTTCCCCAAAGAGACCTAATTAGAAAATAAACTCCAACTTCCGGGAGAACATGGCGGACAGATAACAGCAACTACCGGAGGCTCTCTGAAAACTAGGCTCAGAAGCCAGGTATGGTGCGGACTAAAGAGACATAAGCAGGTGGAGTTATGCTCTGCTGACTCAGGAACGAACTCGGCTGAGAGAAACCAACTCGGAATGCAGTCCTGGTGCTAAAACAGGAACAGAAAAGCCTCGCTGCTGAGGCTGGACCCCACGCCATTTGGGTTTCCCGCCGCACGGTGGCTGGCTGCCTCTACATCGGCTCGGCAAGGAGAGAGACGCACGGAAACTCTGAGAACGGGAGTCTGTGAACGGAGTCGAAAACAGGACAGGCAGGGAGGCATGTTCTGACTTGTGGCGAGGTGAGTGAGAGAAACTGACACTCCACCACAGTTTGACTCCAGCGGACTTTCTGGGCCCGGGCAGTCCTGCGGGAGCAGGGCGCGCTGGCGACTCCAGCCACACATTCCCCTGTCGGGCGGGATTGGTGAAAAGTGCCTGGCCTGCGTGACGCTGCCGGCGGACCCCGTAGGCTGGCCCAACCCAGATCCCAGAGCCTGACGGAGGCCGGGAGGGGCGGGCCCCCGCGTAGGCTGCCTGGTGTGCAGCAGTGAGTGGAAACACCTAACCGGCGCAATTCGATCAGGCTGTGGCTGACAGAGAGAGAAGCTAGGCCTCTCATATAAGCTTGCATACATAAGGAACAGAGAATATGGGAAGAGGCAGCAACAAGAAAGGCTCCTCGGCCCCCAATTCTGAGAAACAGGCAATAACAGACACCGCACCATTACACATAAGGCGCCATATAGAGAGCCTCATAGACCAATTCAGGAATGAAGTTATCAACGACCTGAAGCTAGAAGTATGCAAAATAGTTAGAGAAATACTAAGCACCACCCAAGAAAAAACAGATGGTGGAATGGAAGAACAGAAAAAGAGGGGAGAAGTGTTTGATGGAGAAAACAGGGAAAGCATAGAATACGTGAAGCAGGTTCAAAGGGACTACCAAGATACTAAGAAGTCTATCGAAGACTGGCATAACAGCTTGAAAGAAACTAAGGACAGACTATCTGAACTGGAGGGCAGAATTGTAATATGGGAGAATGAAATGAAAAACTTCTTAAAAATAACAAAGAAACAAACAGCAATAATACAAACACAAGAAGATGATAAGAGGAGCCATAACTTAAGGATTAAGAACATAAAAGAAGAAGTAGGGACACAAACAAATGAACTACAAAAGCTACTCACAGAAATAATCCAGGAGAATTTTCCTAATTTAGCAAAAGGTAAAGATACTCAGATGTATGAGGCATACAGGACCCCAGCTACCTACAACCCAAACAGAGCAACACCCAGGCATATAATAATAAAAATTCCAGAAATTCAATACAAGAACAGAATATTAAAAGCTGTCAGAGACAAGAAGCAGACCACTTACAAGGGAGCACCCATCAGAATTACAGCAGATTTCTCTGCACAAACCATCAAATCACGAAGAGCTTGGGGGGAAATAATTCAAGCTTTGAAAGATAATAATCTCCAGCCAAGATTGAGATATCCTGCACAACTGTCCCTGGAAATTGATGGAAAAACAAGGTGCTTCCAGGATAAAGAGGAACTGGGGGAATTTGCAACCACCAATTCAACTCTACAGAGAGTATTGCAGGATATTCTAAAAAAAGAAAAATACAAAGAATCCAGAAATAATGGAGGCCACAACGAATGGAGCAGAGAACAAAGTGAAGAAGACAAACTGACAGCTACTGACAGAATAAGAGCTCAACAGAAATGAGGCAGAGAAGATTGGATGATAGGAACAGCTATTTTGGAGAAAATGACATCTTAATAGGTAATACTGATTTAGTATCATCTTGTTTTGAAGTCTCATCTAGCTTTTGTCCTTCTGTCTCCAATGGTCCAAATAGGTTGTATCTTACTGGATTTTATTATGTATGATAGTATAAGCAAAAACCTTTTAAAGACAAGGAGATTATACAGAAACCATTGTTCATTTTCTGTTAGTCGATTCTAAATACTCTGTAATGCTGTCATTCTCTTGAATGGTTTTACATTGTTTTGATATACTTAATGCTACAGTATACGAAGTTGTACTCAAGGATTTCAAGGAAAGAGATAATATGGTAACTACTTTTAGGTCAGGATTATCTGGTGGTGAAACACTATTCTGCTTAAATGGTTATGTTTTGATCTGTGCTGTTTCGTTGTTATGCCCTCTTTTATCTCAATCTCCACTCCATTATTTACTTTTTTATTTTTATCCTTTTAATTAAAGGAAAAAAATAGCAGGATATATTATAGTAACCCACTTTGACTTTCCATTACCTCGATTTAAAGCCCTGTATTACTCTCACCATCTGGTTTTTAACTGATGTTCCCCCATTCTGTTTTGCTGGATAGTATCAGGTTCGAAAATTTAGGCATCAGCTGTGAAGATAATGAGATTCATTATGACGCCCATTCTCATTGACTTTTATCTATTTTTGAAGACCTACAATGTCTCCAATGTTTTGGTTTTGTCGGTTTTATTCTTTACAGTTTTGTTCAATTGTATTGTAACTAACAATATAGGCAATTCTATTAGAGATAGTGGGAGGCATTATGGTAACCATTGTTGATCACCTTGTATTATGTTTTCACATTATCTATTATGTCCACCCTTTTGACTTGACCGATTCTGTTCTGTTATGTCACATTTGGTTTTACTCTCTTCCAAAAAAGTAATAAGAACCATGGGAGCAATGAAACCCAAAATGTGTAATAGTCATTGTACAAAAGAGAGGAAAAGAAAGTGCTCTGTACTATATAACTGCATGTATATTTAAGTGTATAAGATAGAAAATGATATCACAGAGTTTTATTGGATCATTGAACAGAACTGTTTGCAGTATCATTGATGGAATGTCCACTTTACAAGCTTTAATTTTGTGACTTGAACAATTATTTCTAAGATGACAATATGTAATCCATTAACTAGTAATTTCCTACTGTTCATTTTTTTTTCTGCAAATCTGTATAACTTGTACCCTTTCTCTGCTTTTTTTTCTTTTCTCCTTAAATAAAATTTAAAAAAAAATTAAAAAAAAAAAATTAATGCTAGGAAAGAAAATAAACTCCAGCTGGCTATTACCATGGTGATGGCCAGTGTCAGGCAGATTATACCTCTAGGACTCTGTCTCAGTGGCTATTCTCTAGTGGCAGAAAATAGGTTGATTGGGCTGGCATTTATGATCTCTAGCTTTTAAGTCTCTTAGGTTTCATTTTGAGGGAAATCTGTTTACCAATGTTTACAATGACTCATTTTTAGAAAATCAGTGTCTGTGCACATATTCCTTCAGGCCATACTGATTTTGGTGGTGGTGGGGGGGTGGTTTGCCAGGAATTGAACACATGACCTCGCACTTGCCTGGCAGGCACTTCTGTCCTTGAGCTAAACCCCCAGCAGGACATACTGATGTTGAGCTGCAGTACTATGACTACAAAACCAGCCCACCCACCAATCCCATCCATAAAAAAGACACCACAACTCTTGGCCGCAGAGTGTAAAATATATTGATGTGGTAAAGGGACAACTGGAGCCAGTTTAGGCCTGCTGGGGTGACGCGCAGCACACATACATGCTCTGTTTCTCGAAACCGTGTCATGAAGTTCACAAGTACATCTGTTTGGAACACGGTGTTTTGCTTTTTCGTCAGCACAGATTACTACTCTACAGTTTCTCCTAGAGTAAATATACACGACGGCTGTTTGCAGAGCACTACAGACCTATTTAGATGTTTAACATGGGTGAACTATTTCACAATTAAAATCAATCACTGATCAATAGCAATGTGTTTTTTTTTCAGGGTTTTGTTCACTGCTATGGGGGAGGAGGCAACTTTTCCAATTTCTTCTTGGTTTACATAGTCACCAACAGACTCCAAAAGGTATGAAAATTAACAGTCTGTTTTTAAAAGAATTGTGATTATGCCATGGGTTTTTCCAGGACCCTCAAAGTCAGATCACTTAAATTTACAAGAAAAAAATCAGGTGTTATGGAAAACATAGTAACAAAAGTACTGAAAAATACATCTGCAGAACACAGTGGTCAGTTGTAAACAGCTCAGAAGGGCAAAGGAAACAAAAATTCCTTCTAGGGAGGTGAGCAGTCCGACAACCACAAGCTCTGCTTTTCTTTTTTCCCTTAGTGGCTATTTTCCTACCACAGTGTTGAGCTTCATTTTTATATTAAATAACTTATATGGGTAAAAAGGAGTTTGCTAACCAGCAGCCAACTCAAAACCTCATAGGAAGAGGGAGGAGAGGAATTTACAACACAGTACACACTAAAGGAAAGTCAAGTCCTCAGCCAGTCAGTGTTCCCCGCTCCAGCAAAGCTGCGAGTGGGGGGTCTGGGATCTAAACTTAGGGGTTTTTTCCCCTCCCTCCTCTCCCTTTTTCATTTAAATTAACAAAGGAACATGGGCTTCCCAAGAGCCAGCACTCAGCTGGGTAAAGTCCCATTAGCAGCAAAAGTTCAACCAAATAAAAACACACACACAAAAGAAAACTCCATCCGGTGCTGAGCTGTGATTCACGTGGAAATTCCAGGAGATGAATCAGGCATTGCGCCGGGATCTTTAGAGGATTCTTTCTCAAGTGTCTTCAGTGAACATTTCAGTCCCACACAAAAAAAAAATCAGTCAGTCTGTCAGTTGTGGGAAATGGGCTTCCCATTACACTGGAGTGAGCTTTCTCTGAGGCCTACAGAGTCCTCCTGGTTGTTTGTAGTTCTAGATGCCAGAAGACAAAAGCCGGCACTTGCAGGATCTGTGTGATGCAGCAGTGGCGGCGGCGGCAGCAGCAGCAGCAGCAGGTCCCATGTGTTAAACTCTGCCCAAGAGGCTCGACCTGGATGATAGAGAACCATGTAAGACAGAAGGCAGCAGACTATTTGTATTAGGAGTCAAGTCAGATTGCCCAGTACTTGCCTAATACTAATTGCATCTTTTCTGGATTTTAAATTATTTCTCATCACTAAAATCAGGGAGGCTGCTGGGCGTCATGGCTCATGCCTGTAACCCCAGCCCTTGGGAGGCTGAGGTAGAAGGACTGTCATGAGTTCAAGGTCAGTCTGGGCTACAAAGTGAGTTTAAAGCCAGCTTGAACTGCAGAGCGAGACTGACTAAAATAAGATAAAATAAAATAAAATATCCAGAGAGGTGGAAATCAAGCTTTGAAGTCTTCCTGGTCATTTAGGAAAATTGTTAGCCACTTAAATAGCTACTAATGTAGACAATAAAAATTTTGTTTACTGATACATCTGTACCTTGAGTGGTTTTATATTAAATAAAAAACAAAAAAAGGGCAGAGATCATTCACAAAAAGTTTTCAGATATGTGCCAGTCTTCTTATAGTAGATAAAAGCATCTTTTGCAACACTTCCTATAACCACAGGGAGCAATGAAATTGTCAGTGACCGGAAAGGTGTCTGAACTCAGAAGTATTGCGCCATTGTCGTTGATGTACTTGCAAGTGATAGATCTAGGGACAGCAGGAAAAATGTGTATGTACAAAGATCTTTTTGTCTCCAAAGCTAATGTGTAGATAAGACTTCAGGTAGGCAATATGCTTCTAGAACATTTAGTAGCCACTTATCATGTGGTTTTCAAATTATACTACCCCAGTTTCTTTGTTTTATCCACTTATGATTGCTATGTCTTAGCCAACAATACCTACAGTGACTCAATATCACCACCATCACCCCAGGAAGCAGGGGTTGACAAGCAGCAATCATGCCAGACTGTACATGTAGGGCAGAATAAACACTGCACAAAACGACCTGCAGCTTGGGACAAGAGAGGAAGACCACCTTCCATACACATAAATTTCTCCTTTTGGGAGACTGGCCAGACAGGAGCCTGGAACTGTGTTAGGAGAACAGGCAGGGTGTGGAGAAGGAGAGTGTTCTTAAGGCCTCCTCAGGAAAGTACATTAACATGGAAGCCAGCCTCTTCTGCCAAAGGATGCATCTTCACTGTGCTTATGTACCTATTTCCTTATATAACATTTACCAACCCACTTTCATTACAAGCGTTATTACTGAGCACCTTGGAGTATAACCGTGACACCAGACTGCTGGATTCCTGTCTGAATGTAAGCTGGTGCCCTTTCTTTTTCACCTCACATTTCTTTTTTTTTTTTTGGTCTTTTTCGTTTTTATCTGTACCAGGGATTGAACTCACGACTGCCTGCTTGCAAGGCAGGCACTTATGCCGCTGAGCTAAATCCCCAGCCCCTTCATCTCACATTTCAACCAGTCAAATGTCCAATGCCACTATATCCTGTGTGTGGGGTTCGTAGAGATATAGGAAGAGATTATGTAATTCAATCTTCAATTTTTACTACCAAAACCTTGGATTTATGAACCTTTCCAATCTAAGTACTCATCAATAGGTGTGTCATAAAAGACTAACAGTTTAAAAAGACTTAGAGGTATGTCTGGATCCTATAAGTAAGGCGGATAACCAAGTGTCATTCTGCAATGCAAATATGTTTAATTAATTTTTTTAATCTACAAGACAAGTAATACTATCTAGGGTGTCTGTAGCCTCACCTAACATAATATTTTTTAAAAAGCCGAAAATGAGGATTTAAACAGAACAATATGGAAGGCAAAATTCATCTAAAACTGGTAATTTAAAGGAATTTTTATACACAGCTAGATGTGTACTCCAAAGGTCTACAATTGCACATGAACATTAATGAAGAATACAATAATTTTTTTTTTTTTTTTGTCTTTTTCGTTTTTATCGGTACCAGGGATCGAACTCACGACTGCCTGCTTGCAGGCAGGCGCTTATGCCGCTGAGCTAAATCCCCAGCCCCAAGAATACAATAAATTTTAATTCATACAAAAACAATACGAAATTTCAATTGAAAGGTGCCAACAGAAGGCACAAATTTTCAAAAAAAAAAAAAAAATAGATTGAGGAGTTGGGAACAAACCTAATAAAACTATTATATTCCTAATCCTCTGGGCATTAGCTATATCTTCTTTATTCCTAGGGGTACAAGAAACCATTTTGATGATTTATTCTAGGGGCAGTAATTCCAATGCCTTTGTGCCCCATCCCTCCTTGAGAGGTACAAATAAGATCTAAATTGTCCGTAAAAACTATTAAAATCACACAGAATCTGGTATACTGTAGATTTAAGAAGTTAGCCTAACATCAAATATAATGAAAATTCTTGAATGACTCTGGAACTACAAAAGGAAGAAGGGAAAATGTATTTGTCAACCATGTTCAAAAAGGTCTACATTTCCAGAGTGTCTGAGGAGAAATACAGTGATAGCATTTTGGATTACAGTGTCTTATACTACAACTGGGCTACTTTTATCTACTAAAGTATCTTAAATGCTTAAAATACTACAAACGCTTACAGGCTTTGTTTGAAAGTATTACTAGAACAGCAGAAGTTTAAAACTTGGAAAAACTCCAGAGTATATTTAAAGTCTCAATTCTCTTTCTCAAACAAAAAAAGGGGACTGATCTAATTGGCAAGTGATGCCAACTTTATCAACTTGAACTGGTCCCCATGTTAACCACTACATTATTTTTTATTTTTTTCCCTTAGGTCAAATAAAATGTTTGGATTAGAAGAACTACTCACAAATAAGGTCTGAATTTCTGATCAAAAACAAAGAAAAATAGTTTTTTAAATAATTTCACTTCATTGTATTACATAATGCAAGAAAGAAGAACAGACTCGCTGTACATGTGTCAGTGAATAAATAAATGGCAATAAACTTTAATGATGGTAAGGGGAATTCTAATCTGCAAAGATTGGTCAACAGAGGATGAAGCGCAGGGGACTCCCAAACAGGCTGGGAGGGGCTTCCGAGGAATGCCGGTGGCTTTTTTCAAGCAACACCAACACTTCCTCGGGACATGCACAGCAACAAGGAGCAATGAGACCCACCTTAAAGACTTCCATCTGTCTTTCTCTATGTGATTCTCAGGTCCTTCACTCTCATACGAAGCCAAATAGAGAGCTGGGGGAAGAAAGAATGCATTAGAAGAAAGAATGGGGCCTTGTCCTAACACAGTACCCATCACACTCCGTCCCCTGTTCAACGTGAGCCCAGCCTCTGGCAAAACACATTCCTTAACTGGGCGCAGTGACACACACCTGCCGTCCCAGCACTCCGGGAGGATAAGGCAGAAGGACTGCAAATTTGAGCCCAACTGGGCAGTGTAATGACTGAGCAAGACTATCTCAAAATAAAACATATAAAAAGAAAAGGGCTGAGAATGCTCACTGTGAAGACTCCAGCTCAATCCCAGTGCCAAAACAACACCACAACCACAAAAAACCACACTCCCCTAAGATCAAATGACAACCGAGAACACAGAAGAGCACTTTGACTGTCTCAACAAAACTCAAGCCAGGGTGTTTAGGTCAAAAGGCCACCTAATGAACTAAAAAGTCATAAAGCCAAAAGGCTTCTATTACCTAAACCACATAACACTGTCATTCATTCAGGTTTATGTCCTTTACAAAGAAACAGGTAGCGGTCTCTTTCTAGAACACTCAGGTTTTTAAAATCCCTTAATCTCAGGATAATTTTCCATCTTTCTAGTTATATTTTTCTTCTTTTCTAAATCAGAAAGAATCTTCACCTAAAAATTTAAAAGGCTACTATTAATCTTATTTAGAGATTAAAAGCAATCGTTTCCTCTGTTGTGTGCAATATTAATTGAAAATGATCTTCCCTCATAATTATAAATGCTCTCAATCATGCATGAGAAATCACCATCCCAAAATGTTAGGATTAGCAAATCAGTAGAATATAACTGTAAGTCCTTTACAAAGTCTCTTCTGGTGATTTTTTCCCTGTACATAATCACTTTTTCTGCCTTTACTTTCCTAGTTTTTAATAGGCCAAGACTTTTCCCTCCTTTCTCAAATAGGAAGGAGTAGCATAGCCATTTACTGTTTTGGTCCTCCCTCACTCCGAAACTACCCTGACTACCAACAAAACACAAAACACCTTTTTGATCCACCACTGAAGAAGTCCAAATAAGGAGAACAAAACCCTTCCATCAGTGTCCGTTTATGCCCGACGCTTTGCAAATGACGTATTCTAAAGGATGTTCAACATGGAAACACACTGTTTATGGGTGAAGATTAAGTAGAAATATTCAGGAATAAATCATAGCATTTTCTGTGTCATAAAAAAACTGTTCAAGTGGAACGGACCAGTGGACTGGCCTCACACTTTCTCAGGAGCTAAGCATTTGTCCCGTAGTATGGACTCGGGCTGTGGGGCAGTGCCATCTGGGTGAGCTCACCATCTTCGCTGAAGACAGGCACTGTGAGCAGGTACTGCAGGATCTTCCGGTCCCTCTCAAAAGGGCACTCCACTTGCTTCCATGTCATAAATTCACTCACTTGTTTGGCCAGTTCCCAAAATTTCTAGAAGATGATCAAAGAGTAGAATTGTAAAAGTGATCACCAAAAATAGTGTGGAAAAGACAATTCCATGTAAAAAGGCTTCCTTCTAGGTATTCGACCTCTAAATTAGATCTTTTCTTAATAAAACTCTATTTGCTGGCTAGATCAAGGTTAGAATGTATTAAACTTCCCTCAATCGATGAATAATAAAAACAGTGCAGCCACTGTGTTCTACTCGGTATTGTTAATCTCTTATGCAGAGAAGGGGAAGAGAAAATTTGTTCTGCAGCTGCAGAATCAGCACTGGCTGCCAACCTGGGGTGCTCAAAAGACACCTTTGCCCTATGCGCACTCACCTCAAAATTGACGTGGCCATTTGGAAGGCGGTTGGCACAGCCCTCATTGAGGAAATAAATGTCTTTGATTAAGAGACTGAAGAACGGTATCACTATCTAGAGAAAACAAAAGATTTTGGTTTGTCTGGGCATCAAGTAGTGCAAAGGATTAATGAACAACATTAATTTTGACTTGCATAAGAGGTCACAATGAATTACGGTACAGTGTTCTGTATACAACACACAATATCAGCCTCCTCCGTCAGACAATTCTGCCTAGGATTCATGGCAAGGACAACTAGTGTTGGAAAGTAGACAGACAAGTGGTTTTCTTAGTTTTTCCCCTTTATATTTTTTTTGTATGTGTATTTTGTCGTGGGGTTTTCCCCCAGCTTTCTGAGATAAAGTCCCACATATATATAGTTCAAGTAGTCTTGAACTTGAGGCGATTCTCCTGCCTCAGCCTCCTGAGTGCTGGGATTACAGGAATGTGCCACCATGTCCAGCTTCTCTGAATATTCTCAATGTATGTGATGATACCTGACAATTGTAATTCTAATGAAAGAGAAAAAATGCCTCACAGAACTCTTGCTTTTTATTTTGGAAACCTAGTTATGATTAAATATATTTTATTTTATTGAGACTATGTAGCTCAGGCAGGTCTCAAACTCATAGCAATCCTCCTGCCTCAGCCACCACACCCTGCAGTTAAGTCTTAATAGGATAGTTATCACTGCAAGCACTAAGATTTTAAAATATGAGACCTTTCTCTTGGCTACATTTTATATCGCTATATTATTTGGATGTCTACATTTCAGATGAACTTTTTTTTAATGATTTCATTTTACCCTTCAAAGCATTGCTTAAGATAATGTGAAAGCTCAGGGTTAAGTTGCTACAAGCTTCCTCTTGAGCAAAACTGGCCTGTGATGAGGGAACAAGTTGGCACCTGTGGTCATGGAAAGGCATCTAAGAAACAGAATGCTGGGGCTGGGGATTTAGCTCAGCGGCACAAGCGCCTGCCTTGAAAGCAGGCAGTCGTGAGTTCGATCCCCGGTACCGATAAAAAGGAAAAAGACAAAAAAAAAAAAAAAAAAAAGAAACAGAATGCTACAAGAGGTGCCACAGTGAAGGAGGAATACAAATGTGTAAATTAAATGCAGTGACTTTAAACAAGGAACCGTGTTTAACAACACTTCTCTGCACCGAGTCTTTGGTCTGATGAAGTGATATTTAACTAACTAGCATAAAATAATAATTTCTAAGAATACCTCCTAAATTCTACTAAACCTGCAACAAAGAACAGAGCTCACATACAGTAGCTTTCACTTTCTCTCAAATGCCAACATATCTTCAGATCTAAAATTTCCTAAAATGCAAATAATGCACTAACCACAGGTTGTGGGTCTGTCGGATTGCTCCAAGGTCATGATTTGGATCTTTTCCTAAACTTGTGACTTCTATACCAAACAAATGGAAAACATACTTTTTGGCTCACATACAAAAATACTAAGTATTGATTCACATTTAGAGAGAAATTTAGACTTCCCTCTAAAGGCATTTAAGATAACAAGCTTTTATTTTATTTTAATTTCATTGATCTCCAAAAATAACCTTTAGTTGTAAATTGTGAGAATTACAATCCTCTTGTCTCAGCCCTCCAGAGTGTTAGGATAACAGGCATGTACCACTATGGCTTGAATATACTTTTTGCTCATTTTCTCTCATCTGTCTGTCTCTGAGTTGAAGTAGTAAGGATGCCATGGCTTTCTCCTAATGTTACTGGCTAATTCTCTATTGTGTTACAATTAAGCAGGTATAGTAACAGTGCTGCCAGACATCAGTTTAATGTGACTCCATGATTTGCCCTTGTGGCAAAAACCAGGAGCTGGCAAAATGGAATTTCCACGCCTTCTTTTTTATGCCTAGGAACCACACATCTTACATTTGTAAGTGGCTGGGAACAAACCAAAACAGAATACTATTTCATGATGCATGAAAATTATACACAATTCAAATTATAGTGGCCGTAGAGCTTTCCTGGAGCACAGCCATGCCCATTTATCTACACACTGCCACTGCCCGCTTCTGTGCTTCTATTCAAGTTGCATTGGCACTTATAATAAAGATACATCTTTATATGACAACCACATGGAAATGGAAACAAAATTATAATCAAGAAGCAATATTTGTGTGTCATAATAGCTTCAAAGCGAGAAGTTTATTTCTGTGACATGTAGTCTTCGGTGCTGGGCTGTGAGATGCATGGCGTGATCACAAGGATACCCTCAGAGTGATAATTAAACTTCTAAGTTCATGCCATGTGCCTTTAGCTGGATTATAAATTCTGGGTGGCAGAGGTTACTCCTTACATGATTTTTACATTCATGAATGCCCAAAAGATATTCTAAATCTAAATGGCTGCATAAGGGTTGCTGGAAGCATAACTAATATCTAATGGATAATACTAGTAATAGCATAACTAATAACTAATGGGTATCTTGTTGCCCTGTTCCTTATGCCCAGATGCAAGAAAAAGCCACACAGCCTTCAGCTTCTCATTTGATCATGGATAATCCCCATCTGATCAGCAACCCCTACATAAACCCAACAGCAAAAGAAGTTTGGATTTCTGTGACTTAAGAGAATGCACAAAATAAGGACCCTCCAAATCAAAATTAAGGTAGGTGTGGGACACCATTAGCTTGTATAAGAGTAAGAGAGAAATAGAGAGGATCATTAGTTTTTCGAGCATCATCTTTGTAATTTTCCCTGCCACCTGCATATCCAATTAGTAACAGCAGGGCTAATGCTCTAGTAACTAACCTACTTTCTGAAAATAAATGACTTAACTGTGGGAGGTAAGCTAATTCTTTTAGGAGAAAAGGTTATATTAAGTCAGCCACCTTCTGCAGAGCTTAAGTGTCTATTTTTCCATTAAACCAAATTACTCACTAATGTTATTTGTCACTTTAACATATGACTTAATTTATTGCTTGAAACACAACTAAGACACACTCTAGAATAATTTTAGTAATATAATAATAATACAACAATATAGATTTGCAATGTTGCACATCAAATTGTGTTTCCTTTTCCACACTCTTATCTTTTCCTCTAACATCCCTCTTCCCTGTGTGGGAAGGGATGAGACTTCTATAGTATATACTTCTTTGCAATCTGAATATATAAAAGGAACTCAGCAATTTAGCTGGCATCTCATTTCAGTATAAATAAGGCAATTATATAATGAAAAACACTACATTAAGCACACACCTTCTCTCTGCTACTATGAGCAGTTAAAGACCTTTGAGCTGCCCCACGAAGAGCTGTTCGATAATTATAGAAGTTGCTGGAAGGGTCCATTTGATGCTGCAGAAGACAGAATATTAGCCATGAATCTTACCTGTAAAAGTTTACACAATCTTACATTTATCTATACATAAAAATTCTAAGTAAGTGTGGAAACTCATTAAAAATACTATTTATTCCTTTCCTACACAGAAGCATGCAAAACAGCAGAATATAAATGTTTTCTTTCCCAACACTGGATTTATTCTTAAAAGCTGATGTCAGCTTTGATGATGTTAAACCTAAATCAAATTTATCTAGGCTAATTACGAGATCAGATCTAGAACTATTAAGAAAGACTTAAATAGAAAAACTTCTTGGTTTCATTTGAAAGCCAATGGGCCGGGGATGGTTATCCATGTATACTGATCTGACACTTGGCAGTGAACTTGTTCTTTGCATTTTATAATAAATCATTCAAAAGTAACTGAACCATTTTGCAAAAAGGAAAATAAATATATTAAATAAAGCATCACACAATGTCTAACAAGAATTCTCAATTTAGAGGAAAACCTGGGGAACAATGCCTATTATTTCCAAAGACAGCAGACTGAAAGCACCAACACATTGAGGTCACATGGAGATGAATTTAATTCTAACGCACATACCCGTGTGCCACAATTCTGACTACCCTCAGAATTACATGAGAAAAATTTTTCGTACGTTAACTAAATTCGCTAAAACAGGGCTGGGGATTTAGCTAGGGGCTGGTTATTTAGCTCAGCGGCATAAGCGCCTGCCTTGCAAGCAGGCAGTTGTGAGCTCGATCCCCGGTACCAATCCAAAAAAAAAAAAGGAAATCTAAATTTGCTGAAACAATGAATGCATATTTTGGGTGAATGAGGAACTCTTCTCCAGCGCACTACAGATAAATAAAAGAAGCTAGGAGGAACTGGGGAGTAAAACTGCTGCTCAGATCCCCAGGTCTATTCTGGGTTATAATGTCAGCATTTGTGCAGTTTATTATCCCAAAATAGTCCCCTCTGGTTATAGAAGTACTAGTCCAAAATTTTTATTTTCCCATCTAGTTCAAACCCCTTTCCTTCTCTTAGGTCTGTAAGGTTTTTTCTTCTAACACAGAAGAATTCCACATTCTGGGTCTAAAACATTATTAACAGGCAAACAGTGTCACATACCTCAAGAATGTCAAACTTCGCAGTCTTCACCTTGGCCCAAGTCTTCTTTAGCCGTGAGACTGGACTCATATTCATTCCAGCTTCCCATTGAACATGTATGACGGGGAGGAGAAGTTTGAAAGAGAGATATAAGAAAAGCCATTCTACCTTATGCCCTGAATAGGGTGCATTACTAAATATAAGTAACTGAGTGCTACAAATTATTAACAAGTAATACACTCCAAATTTATAACTTCTTGCAAATTTTTTCCTCAGCCCAGAAACTTTCAGCAAAATTAACCAGTTTTGTTTTGTTTTGTTTTTTTGTAAAGGAAAGAACAGCAAATGTTCTAGGCACTGTAAGGCACATGGGCCTGTGCCACACCTGCAGAATGTTCTGCTGGTAATGGTGTCTAAGCAGTCACAGGTAACTACAAACCACACAATAAAGCTTTATTTAGATTCAAGTTGTTTGTCAGTTCTATGTATTACAGATATTTTCTCCCATAGTATGGTTTGTCTTGATAGTTTCGTAATGATTAAAGAGAGAAATGTTAAGTAATCTTCTGCTACTTAGATTGTAGACCTTTAAGCTCCCTGACTGACCTGATCTTTTGGCTATTTTCATGGGTAGCTGGCCAACATTATTATGATGGTCACAGAGGGGAAATGATGCACAAGCAAAATAAAAAAGGGACTAGCGAAGGAGGAATTTATTGAGATCATGATTACTGAATTAACTCTGGTTGACTCTTCAGCTTCAAACTGACCTCAACTCTGCTTTTTATTGAAGTATGATTACAGAGCACCTACAACATGTAGGATGACCATCTCATTTGTCATATAAACTGGTGCACTTATTAATTAGTCATCAGTGATTATAGCAAGATGACAGTTATAAACTGGAACAACAAAACTTGGTACTGCCTGAGCCATTGTAACAGAGTGAATGGAAAGAAACAGGGTTTCTGGAATTAAAAATCCCCAGGAGATAAAAGCACAAGTTGGTATAACGGGAGTAGCAAAGTCTGCAGCCAGTGAGGGCAGTCAAAAACTGTTCAGTGTGTTAAGCCAATCTCTTAACCTTGATAAAGAAATCATACGATTTACTCTCAGATCATATATTTTCCTGATACTTCATATACAAACTTCTCGAATACTCTACAATCCTTTATGTAGATAAGTATCTCATTTTTAAGCACTGATAGCTAAGTATTTGGTTGTGGATAGATTAAAGATATTCCATAAATTTTTGCATTTTTAAGAAAAAAATAACACCTCACACCACTATGGTTACTTAAAAGTATTCTGAATGTTCCTGAAATAATTCAGGAAATAATAATTCTCAAAATAATTCATAAACTATACTCTTAGCAAATATCCACAGGCCCCATAAAGAGAGGACACAAATCCCAGCGAAGACTTACAGATGATCGCCATCAAGGAATTAAAGTTGCCAATGTTAAAACACTCCCGAGCCACGTCAATGAAGTACTCAATCATTCGTGCTCGGTGTTTCTTCTTAACAGGCTACAGGGGAAAAGACAACAGAGAGCGGTTACCTAATGTGTGGACTCAACAGACAGAAAGCAAGTATGTAAGTAACATAAGGCAAGAGAAATAACATTGACAGCTAAGAGGCAGGGGAAATTCTTTTCCTCACCATGCAGATTTCTGTAGCCACCAAGTAGCTTAAGCGATTAAACCATTCCACATAGGCTTCTAAGTTTCGTGTTTTCTTCCGCTCACTGAAGCAATTCTATAAAGAAAGAAAAATGATCTGGTAAGTTAGAGGAAAAAAGAATGCATATGTGTATGGGTTTCACTTTGGGAGTATGGAGTTTTCATTCTCTGTGTATGGCTAGGATGAGAGTGAGAAAGACAGAGAGGGCCACTGGCATTCTTGATTATCCTTACAGAAATATCAAAATCTCCTAGGATGATCCCATAAAAGCTGAAATGTAGAAATATACTCTAATGCACTCATAAAAGTACCTTCCCCTCCTTTTGCAATGTACTGACCTACTCTGGATAAGATCTGATCATACAAGCATAATCCAGAGCAAGGGTTCTGGCTACATTCTATAACAATCTTGGACTCATTAATGAGGTACAAATACTAAGTGCTATCAACACAGCAAGGAAAGACCAGGTGTACTAGACTGGAATAGAAAAACTTCTCCTAAAATTAAATTGTATGACAAAATTCTGGAGCATCAATGTACCAAGAAGCTAAATATCTTCCAAAGAAGGAAACTGGAAGCCTATAACATCACAGTCTATAGTAGGCTGAATGACACATTGTCCAAAAGCAAAAGACATTCATCTCATCTTGCGGTTCAAGGCCAAACTTGAAGAGGTTCATTAACCCCTCTTTCCTTCCTTCCAGAAGACACAAAGCCTGCTGACAGAAGACACAAACAACGAAGTCCACCAGCCTGCTATTGCAAAACACATCCTTCACTTCCCGTACTGAGAAACTATTCTAAGGCCGGAAAACAGCTGCTACCTCAACTCACACAGGGGACTTTCATCGGTGGGTGACACAACCTTTGCCTAATAATTTGAAATGTTTCTTGAGGCTCTGGGATAGAAATTCTCGACCATGTACCACTTGTTTAACAGTATGTGTCCTGTACTATTTTCTTTATGTGTGGGCTTTACCACAAACTTGCCGTGAGGGATTCACCTTGAACCAAAAGTTAAAGCAGGGAAGAGCCCAGCTCCGCAGGCTGAACCTGCATCCTGTCCTGCTTGCCCCTCCTACTGTTGAACCATGAGCACGGCATTGTTTTTTATTTTCCTTCTGGCTTAACCTGATAAAATCATTATGTTTTCATCTCCTGCCTTCATGACAACAAATGCCTGCATCTAGATCTGCTATAAAGGCCTTATTAAATTTCCTCAAAAGGAAGAAGGACAGGGTGAAAGTTGGTGATAGGATCAAAATACTATAAAGGCACTCAGAGACCTGGCTCAGAAAAAATGCAATGCATCACACCTGGCAATGAAAAAAGTCCTTTCTGACTTTAAACTCTGAAAAAACAGTTTCAGCAACAAGGTCTAACACCCATCATCACAGATTAACGATGTGCATTTCTAGTTTAAGTACTGCACTCAAGACAGGCTAATTACCTTGTCATTGTCCAAAGGATCCTTCTGCACAAATGCCTGAACAAACTCTTCAGGTCCAATGTAATTGAGCCGCTCCTAAAACACAAATCCAGCAAGTTGAAAATTTTAAAGGAAATGCAAAGAAATGGATAGTTTACTTCCCCTATTTAACCCCCATTTCTTAATGTGGGTTATCAAATAATGCTTTTATCAGCATCAAGGTCTCAACAGAGCCAGTTTTCTGCTTGGATCAATGTTCTACAAGATAATGGAAGATTGTGTGGGTTACGGAAAAATTAATTTCAGGAAGAACATGAGGAAAACTCTTGTTTTCCAGTCTTGCCTGGTATTTGCTTACAGCTAAATTCCCAGCATATCAGAGGCATTCATATTGCAATGCCTAAATAGAACACATTTCAGCTGTTTTGTAGATTATTTATCCACTACTTCTGGCAAATGCACTGGTTGCCAAAACAAACACAATCGTGGCTGCAAAGGGCAAGGATGATAAGGGCCTCACCAGCTCTACGTGAGTCAGCTGCTGGGCCAGTGTGTATGGATCACTGCAGACAGTGATGATATCCCTCTGGATGGACTGCGGCTTGGTCTTGAGGACCATGAGCCGATCTGTGGATGTGGAGCTGATCTTTGCCAAGACTTCCTCATACTGGCTGAGAGCAGCAAGTTTGCGGATGAGACACTGCATCATCTGCTGGACATTCTTCCGGTACGTCTGCTAGGGAACAAGCCAAGCATTACACCCTTGCTCTGTCAGTGTTTTTCAGCAGCATGACTGCAACCTCACAGACGATATTCTGAAATTATTTTGACCTTGACACTGCACAATCAGTTTGGTTCAGGAAACTTACAGATGGATTCAGACAGCTCTACCTCAGAGACAAATACATCAAGGGTCTCTTCAAACCTGCCAAGGTTAGCGTTTTTCTCAGACTGCTATTGAGAGCACAGCTCAGATTGGACCTTCACACACTACAGCCTTTCAGATTACCCATCCAGGACATTCTGTATAATGTGTACTACACACAATGAAATATTCACAGGTAGAAATGTACCTGTCACCTTTAGTTGAGATAAAATACACCGATCTCAAGTCAGAGCATCCTTTCTCTAACTTTTTCATTAGGGCCACCTTCTTGCTTTCTCCACCCCTATCATTTCCAATCTTATTGGACTGAGGACACAGAGGCTACTTGATAGGAACACAGCATGCTTCCCACTCCACCAGCCACCCACCTTCCTGATTTCCACAGAACAGAGGATATTCACTTTTGGCATCTGACCTCCACTTGACTCCTATCCATTTCTTCCCTACTGGTAAGTCAGTTGCGGAATTCACAGACAAACCCGTGCACATGCAGTCTCCCCCCCTTCTAGGAAAGATGCCACCTGTTCAGTACCGCACATGCTATAGCCGCGCACATAAGAGAAGTTGCTATAAAAACCACTGCATTTCTTATAAGTGTCCACCTCCTGATTTTTCAAACACTTGCTAAACCGAAGAAATGACCTCCCAAACAATCTCTTGAGTACACTTATCCTAAATTATGGAATTCGTTGGGTCTTCTTTATCTGGCCTGAAACTGCCAACAATTACCCTTTTAGCTAAAATGTGATGCCTGGGTCAGAGGAAGGTACACAAGCTGATTCAGTTGTACCTGGATCTCTAATTACCAGCTCCAAAGGACAAGGATCCCAGTGAATCTACAGATGCCGAAAGGCCTGTGTTTATACTTCATTGCCTTTTTTTGTTTTTGTTTTGGTACCGAGAATCAAACTCAGGACCTCATGCTTACCCAGCAGGTTTTGTGTCACTTGTACCATGTATCTGGCCCTTTAGTACCTTTTAAAAGGTACAATAATATCACCTACACTTTACCTACAATGGCATTTACCTACACATAGAAGTATTTTTTTAAATTTTAACAGAAGCAATTTGGTTTAGCAGAGAATGTTAGCAAAAGCTAGAGCTATTCGCATAGAAGGAAGTAATATCTCAATGTGGTTATCAGTTAATCTGGCTGATGTAGATAACGATAAAAAGCATACACAGATTTCCTCCTTTTTCTGTTCTTTCCTGTCAGTGCAGTTTAATGAATTCTTCAACATGGTCCACCCTATGACCTTCACATTTCTCTATAGTCACGAGCCACTCTAAAATGGTGATATAGCTAAGTATTCTAAAACAACGGAAACTTCAAAAAAAGAAAACCTATCTTTCACTTAGCAACAAGGTTACCAGTTTACAAGATGCTATCTGTTTGGTAATATGCTTGTTCATTCAAGGAAAATGGACTGTTTCAAATCCTTCATTCCTCTCTGGCCCGCCTCTTTAATTTTAGTAACACTGAGCTATACTCAAACTCTATGAATTTAAGAGTTCTCCTTTAATCCTGCCACATAATAATAAATGCCTACAAGAGTCATTACTGCTTCTTAAAATTATGTAAATATTTCCCTAATAGCTGGGCGTGGTGGCTCATACCTGTAATCTCAGCACTCGGGAGGCTGATGCAGGAGGATCATTGCGAGTTTGAGACCAGCCTGGGCTACAAAATGAGCTCAAGGCCAGCCTGAACTGCATAGTGAGTCCCTGTCTCAAAAAAAGACCAAAAAAAAAATTTTTTTCCCTAATGTTACCCACTAGACATTAAACATCTTTATGAGGCACTTTAGTTATAGCATGTACCATTCAGAAAAGAAAACATGTCAGAAAGTTGTGGGTCTACATGATTAAGTCATATTTATAAAAGTAACTCTTGGGGACTGGGGATTTAGCTCAGCGGCATAAGCACCTGCCTTGCAAGCAGGCGGTCATGAGTTCGATCCCCGGTACTGGAAAAAAGAAGAAGAAAAAAAAAAAAGACGAAAAAGTAACCCTCAACTGTCAGCATATGAGGACTCTGCCATAGTCTAGCATGGATAAGCGACTTACATTCTTAAGTCTTTCCAGGAGAATCCTGAATTATAAGTAAAAATGTACTTATTTGCTTCCAATAGAATAGTCTATAAAAAGAAAAGCTACGACCCAACCATATTTTGGGTTACTGTACAACAGATAAAACAGGACACGGCTATCAGCACTGACCAGAAAGATTCCCAGACATATTGATGAGTGTAAAAAGTAGGGTTAAGAACACTCGTTATGTACACACATCCACGCATGCGTGCACCCATGTACACACACCCCTGACACTATATCTGTGGATGTATCTGCCCATGTATCCTTACACACAGAGCAGGCTCTGTGAGGATACACATGAACTGACACCTGTTGCTACTTCTAACAGAGAGGACTCCCACCTTTGGTGAGAAAAAAAAAATTGGATCAAAATGTTTCCCTAAATTGCTTGATTAATTCAAAATAAAAAATTTGAAGTGGGATTGCTTGGATAACAGGTGAGATATACAACAAAGTTATTTATTTCAGAAAAGCCAAGGACAATTCATTTAAAAATATCCATTCTTTGATATCTCAGCAGCTGTTCCATATGTTCTCAACCCTAAGTCACTCCCCACCGCCCCTCCCAGGAGGCCCACAGAAAATCTTCAGGCAGCAATGACTGCTTATCTTCAGTCACCACCTGAGGGGACCAGCTGAACACCAATGAGTACAAGAAACAGTGCACTGGGGATAGCCCACAGCCTGGCACCACGCCAAGTCCCACCAAACTGGGGAACATGATGGAAACACTCCCCAGGTGACCTAAACACACAGCAGCACAGGACAATCAACATTCCACTAGCACATTTGGTTAAAGAGTTTTATTCTTCACTTAAAGAAAGTTTTCTTAGCAAAGAGGTAGAGAAATTGTAAGTCAGATTACTGGTGAGGAAAAGGCAGCAAAATATAAGGGCAAATGTACAAGACTGGGTAAAAGAAAAAAGCTATTCAAATAACAATTTGTGTGTGTGTGTGTGTGTGTGTGTGTGTGTGTGTAGGAAAGCAGGGGGAATATGCGTGCAACCTCTTTCACAAGTTTCCTGCTCCCATTTGATTCCATTTAAGAACTCAGACTCTGTGTTGTTAAGATGCTTCCTCACTGAGTCATGGATTGCTAAATATGTATTTATTCTTTTTTATAACTTCAAATGCCAGACAGTAATTACCTGGCAAACAAAGATAGAAGTTCTTACTATAAAGACCAAGCCCTTAAGGAAGAGAAAACCGCCTTCTACCCACTAGAGTCATTTGTCATGCAATTCAATCATTAGTTTCACTACATGTTTCTTGAGGGCAAGTTCTAATAAACCTCTTCAGTTTGGGCAAATCCCCAGGGGAGAAGCGTATTAAGCCAAATTATGTGGAACTCTCCTGGCAGATTCAGAAGAGCCTGACTAAATTACATCCAGGACACACCTGGGTTCACTGGCTGCCAAAAAGTTTCCTGAAGCCAGAGGCAAGAAGCAACAAGTGCTTCTTCCAATGGAGGGGAAGAATGTTCTGCTCTGTAGTAACTGATTCGTCCACTCATTCATTCTCTCGCTCATTCATTTATTCAGATACTCCTGAGAGCCTGTTAAAATGTCAGGTGCTCAAGAGTTAAAGATGCGTTGAGCAGAGGACACAGCATGGAGAGAGGAGGTGAAATAGCCGAGTCATTAGGAATCACAGAGTGCTATGAAGCGCCATAACGGCTGGCGAAAGCTGACAAAGGGAGTGGGATGTGACCACAGCTTGGCAGCAGGGCAAGCTCTCTCTGAGGAGAGGCGTTTAACACATGCAACAGCTAAGATGCCTGCCCCGCAAAGAACTGGCAAAAGGGCACTCATCACACCATTCTAGAGCCAGAAGGGACATTAACACAGAGCAGTTAACACCATGATTTACAGAGATGCCAAAGCATCCTCTGATCAACCAGCTGCTAAGTGTGGACCTGATTTCTGAGTGCCACATAAAAGCAGCCACAGAAACTTCTAGTGCAGCCCAGGTCCAGCAAGGCTGCTGGTTGCTTCAGAAACTCCCAGACTCAGATGATTGTCTCCTGTCTTCTTGTTATGCTCAAAACCAGCTGAATTCCCATAAGTTTACAAGAATATGTTCTTAACACATGAGTCCTAGCAAAAAGCCATGAAGAAGCTATCTGGCCCTTTTCTCAGTTCTACCAACTCTTGAGTGGCGGGGTCTTGGTTTCCTCTGGGCAGAGAAATCATCTTCCTCTTTCACTGCTATGACAAACAGAACCAAAAGTCAACCACTGGACATTTTCAGCCCACTAACATTTTACTTAAAAAGCCTTAAAGGTGTTCCTTTTGAGAAGAATCACATTATAATTTCTACCTTACACACAAAGACAACAGAGAAAAGATACACTAACTGACATATAAAGTTAACACAATGAAAGGAAGAACTGACTGACTCAGGTCTCAGCCTTGCTATAAGAAAAGGCCCTAGGATGCTACTAATCTTTTGAGCAGCTTATCATAAAGTGAGGTCACTGAGCTAGCATAGACTCTGGGTAGCAACCCATAGCTAATCCCGCTGACAAAAGATTTACTACCACACTGCCCTGATGTTGCTTTGCTTTTGCCTGTGTGAGTGGGGGACCTAGCAATTCGAACCTGGCAGAACCTGAAGCAGACAAAACTGGCAAAATGATTATAACCGTCACAACTTGCAAAATGACTCAGGAAATGACTCATGCAGCCTTGCAGAAATAATGGCTGTCTGGAGCACCTGGGCTCAATGTAACGTCATAAAGTAACAGTGAAAGGGTTAACCCCAGCTTCAGGAGTAGAACATAATCCAGAAAATACTAAGCACAAAGTTCTCAAGTACTGATCTTATATAATTTTAGTCTTTCTTTTTAAACTAGAGGAACGGCATTAAAATGCATTTGTAAGAATTAGACCAGTGTCTTGTTATGCTATCATTTCAGCAAACACTGGAAGATGAGCTCTCCAGGAAGGTTACACACAATGGGAAAATGTATTTTCAGACAAACGAAACAAAACATCACTGCAGCTGCTGAATGCTCCATCTGCCTACTTCTGCCTGATTCTGTTGTACTTGTGCCGAAGAAACTCGTGGTCAGAAACTTATCAGCAACACAGAAACTACAAAGACACCCTTGCTCAACAAGCCTCCACATGGAACACCAGCCCTCCAGGCCTGCTTCAAAGAGGATAACCTTGCATCTGTCACAGCAAGTCAGCTCTTATCAAAGGCTCAATGGGGCAAGTGGTATTTATGGAAAATTTTCTCAGACTTATTTCCAATCTCTACCTATCCTAGACCCAGCCTTGAATCAACTTCTGGTGCTAGAAGACATGGCTTATTTTCTGTCTGCTCTGCCAAATTACCTCACTGACTTACACACTAACCTATGGTTTGTTTTATTAAGGAGTATTTGTTGTAAACTCTATTTTAAAAAACTCGCTGTATATTTCCTTTATAAAAATCCTTCATAAAGGATTTTTCTTTTATTTTTTTGTAGTGGTGGGGACTGAAGCCAAGGCCATGCATGTGCAAAACATGTGCTCTACCACTGAGCTATATCCTCAACCCTAACTTTTAAAATTCTTCATTCAGGGATGGGGATTTAGGCTCAGCAGTATAAGCACTTGCCTGGCAAGCTAAGGTTGTGAGTTTGATTCCTGGTACCAACAAACAAATAAATAAGTTCTTCATCTATGCCTTGAAGGATTACAAGCTTCCCTCCCCTAACAGTGATGCTATATAACCAACTGAATTCTCCTTTTATCTGGAGCTTAAACTCAAACTACAGCAATCTTTTCCAACTCTACTTGTTCTCATATTTGTTTTCTCCCTGCCATGGTACAGATCGTCTATTTCTACTTTAGATTTATTAATACACTACTAATTGACTTATATTTATTTGCATACTTTAAATCCATCAGTGCTTATTGATATACTATTTATTATCTTGCTGGCTGTGTCAAAGCTTTTGAGATGGTAGAAAGGTAAAAGTAAAAAAAAGACACACTTGCAACATGAGCTCTATGCGTGAGCTGACATGAATATTTACCCCAATTAACCACATTACACCCAGACCATTTCCCTTTGAAATAGAATGGAAAAATTATCCTATTTGACATACCCAAAAGGTCAGTGTGTCTAGAAAGGGTGTGCTAAAGGCAAAATGGAAGCAAAGCATCAATATTCTGATGGTTAAATCAGTACCAATTCCCACCCAGGTGATATCTGGGAATTCAGTGACTGTGATCAATTCAGGTTACCCACCTCCTCACCACTGGTTATTCTGTGAGCCAGATCTTTCAAGTTTCTCATCATTCTTTCATCTCGAAAGTCATAAGGAAATGTTTCCGTCCATTCTGTCAAGAGTTGAAGAATTTTAGGTGCAATTTTTCTCATCTGGTTCTAAGGAGAGAAAAAAAAAATTAACTGAATGATGTCTATCACCAGGGCTTATATGGAACAAATAAGTACTGTGTATTTTTTAACTTTTAAAAAATACTGTGTATTTTTTAACTTTTAGTGCAAAGTCTTTGGGATTAAAGAAGCAGCTCTTGGCCCCCATCCACATCAATGCATTGTGCAACTAACTCATAGCAAGAGCTATGGTCTTCCAAGACATCTGGGCATAAGGTAGGGTGACTAAAAAAAAGTTAGGGTTACTTAGGGAAAGCCTAGGCCACTCGGTCAACATACCTAGTCAAAAACTGTCAAGTTCAAAATGCCACATTACCTTATCACCATCAGGATCACTTAGCCTCTGATGCTCCACACATAAGTGGCAAACTTTGCCCATTAGTTCATAGGGGTGCATAAATAACCGCGAACTGAGCAGGAAGGTAAATATGTATGTTCTCTGTGACAAAAAAATAAACAAACAACAAACAAATAAATAAAGTCATCTTGTTACATTCTCTCTGAATTTGAAATCTTTCCTATATATTAGACATCTTTTTTCATGAAGTTTTCCTGATCAAAGTTAATGTGCTGCAGCTTGAAAAGCAATGCCTTCCAGCAGTAACACAATATGAAGATAGATTTCCTCTCTACTTTCAGAGGTATCACTTCCTTAAACCACCTGAGAAATAACAGGTACGCTTAGCTCCTGAAATTATTCAGAGAACATTTTTACACCTCTCCTCAGGGAACCAAGATACCAGGACACCTACCTCACATTAGTAAAGAGTGCAATTCAGCCAGAGAAAGAAACCTAACCTAATATATCACCCACACAGAATCTGGTTTTGTATCCAACTATTATGGTAACTCAATAAAAACCCTAAATGAAAACAGAAAACAAACAATCCAAACCTCACCCCTGCTACCCACATTCAGCTCAAGAATTCCCCAGTGTTTTAAGCATGGCACACTGAAGAGTTGTATTAAGACTATTCAAAGGCATACTTTCAAGTAACCTATTTACTTGCTCCAGGGCTAAGCAATTTGATAAAGCACAATATATCACTATATACATTTCTTTAACACAGTCATCTCCCCAGAAGTCAGTAATGAAGCATGCTTGTTTGTTATAATAGTTTGAGACTCCCATGAAAATAAAAATTCCACGAGTTGAGTTCCCTTCCTACCCCAGGCACCTTTCATAGCTCATAAACATTTATAGGGCTAAACAAGGGATCCCTTTTCCTTTTGATTACAAGTTTTCCCTGTGTGGCATCACATTTAAAAATGCTATGTAACAAATCACACACAGAGAAAGCTTAGTAAGAAACACTGGTGCATTACAGTGACAAGCACAAACCATCTTTTGCCTGCCAAGGATATTATTATGTTTATAAAAACAAATGAATGTGGTGTCTCTAGATATTTTCATGAAATCTCCATCCATAACCAGCTGCTCTGTAATTCTCAGGTCTACAAAACTCAATTTCACAGAGACAGCTGTAGAACAAGAGACCCGGTTGTTCCACAAAGAAAATCCATGTTACACTACTGGTGTTAGGGGCAAATACTCAATAATGGTACATTTCAGTTTCCTCCCCTCTACCCTCTTGCAATTATTCTCAACTTTGAGATGATGTATAATGAACTTCCTAGATCAAAAAGTATCATCTACACAAATATAAGTTACCAAGGTTAAACAAAAGCAGACATGTCCTCTGATATCCAATCTATGAAGCACTGCACTGTATACATTTTCTTCTCTCTTCCACTTACTTTAACCACATTCAGTTTTCTCAGCATAATAATGTACTTAGAAAAAAATGTACCAACTATCCCATTCTGGAAGAATCCAGTGTGCTCTAGCATTTTCATTTCAGGACAAAGGTATATGCATACATCAACCCTATAGATACTTTACTGAGATGCAGTCAGACTGCCATCAAATGTCTGACTGAAAGAAAGAAGCTGATGCGGATGTTACACCAAAATCAGTTCCATACCCAGGCTCAACTCATCTCCAGCACTCAGTAATCAATATGCAATTTCCTATTTGGAAAATTCTTAGCAATTCCAACACCATTTTATAGTCTGCATGGTCCCTGCATATTGTATTTAATTTCTGCTCAATCCCAAGGTTGGGTTTCAGAGGAACATGAACACGTACATCTGGGTAGTAATCCACGTTAGGTACCAAGTGCTGTATAAGCGCTTCCAGAGAGCCGGAGAGGAGGTTGTTGTCATGGTAATACAATCCTCCACAGCTGTCCTCTGCAGACTGATAGAGGTTCCGGTTGTAACCACTGCTGTCAAACATTGCTGAAAAGGGAGGAGTCTGAGGCATGCTTTCCTAACGGAAATAAAAAAAACGTAGCGTCAGTAACACACAACATGAGAAGAGCATAAGCCTTAATAGACACTAAGCTCTAATAGGAATGAGGGAACAAACAATTTTAAAAGACTGACACTACCGGCACCCAAGAACCAAGTGTCCTCTGAGCAATGCATGTGTGCGTACATCTAAGTACCACTCTCATTCATTCGAAACCATAAAATGCGTACTTGGATTCAATCTGGATTTAAGTTCAAGGCTCTGCTGCCAAATCACTCCTTGCATGTAGTTGGGAAGGCGGGGAGGGGAATTGAGCTTTGATTAGTTTTACCCCATTAAAAAATCAAGTATTTTCTTGAGGCAGAAGTGTGTAGATTTTCCCTATTCTGCTGGACCAACTACATAACAATTAAGAGACACCTGATTAGCATAGGACACACAGGGAGGCAGCTAAAACTGACAACAAAAATTATCTTGGACACAAAGCCTAGATTTAAAGTACACTGTGTGCGTGTGTGTGTGTGTGTGTGTGTGTGTGTGTGTGAGTGTGTGTGTGTGTGAGAGAGAGAGAGAGGGAGAGAGACTTAATGCTGACTCCCCCTGAGTTTCCTGAAGGATTGGATGCCATTTATTTTCACCCCTTTGTGTCAAATTCTCAATGCCAGGGTGAGAGGAGCGTGTATAAAGCATCAGTTCTCAGTAAACACTTGGACCGAGAAGGCACCTGATTTGGAACAAGGAGTATGGCGACAGTTGTGAGACAAGCTGCTCTCCATGTGTGAACTCTGCGACTCACAAAGTCCTGTCAGAGGAACTTGGGAGAGGACAGAGGCTATGAAGTTATTACATGGACTCCTAGAGTCAGAGCGCCTGCCCTGTGCACAGACCTGGGATTCTGGCCTCAGAAGATCGGGACAATGGAGGCATTTAAGAGCTGTCCAGACCCGGGGCTTCAGCAGGCAAACAATGAGGGGAAGCCCAACTCCTGGGCCTGCACTGACAGGGACAGGGTGTGGAGGCTGCAGGAGGACACACAACCTGAGCTAATCCTTCTTTTCAAGATGTCAAAAGACATTTGCATCCCAATGGGGTGGGTCGTGGAGCAGTGTCTAAGAAGTCACATCCGTCACTCCAGTCTCTCATACACATCTGTTCCAGCCCCAACTGACGGGGCACAGAGAATCATAGTGTGCACGTGCCTTGGCAGGTGGGCACAAGGCTACAGTGTGAGGGACAAAACACACCACAAAGCCAGCTGGCAGTGAACACAGCATTTAAGAAATGGAGATGCAACTACAATAAATAACAAGGGGAAAATTGTTCATGTTTGTGTAGTCCATCCATAAACCAATACTGAGGGAGAATTTGGAAGGATCTAATAAAATTTAGTCACAAATGGGAAGAAAGTAATTGCTGAGACCCACCCTATAGTGGTGGTGGGGTTTTCACTACTAGGGCCACCTTGATCGTGCCTGTAGCTTAGACAGGATGTGGCAAAAACAGCCAAAGAATAGGGGCCATGGGATACAATGACCTAACACAGCAACTGTGATTAATTAAGTAAATAGTTCACTGTTAACATTTTGTGAGGCAGCAGACAAAGCACATTTCTTTCCTCTTGGAATTGCCAATTTTCACTGAGTACAATCATAGGTAATATAATCATTTCACTGGGGCACCTTTGGTGCAAAGAAAAACAGCCAATCTATCCTTGTCCTGAGAAACTCAGAATGTCCTGGACCTAAATGGGAGATACCTCACAAAGTTACTTATAATTTTGAGGAATTCCTGTGTCTGGGCTTGGTTGTTTGTGGCTTTACAAGAAAAAACTCTCATATACAAGATGAAGCAGATGCTTGAAGTTGGGTTGTTTGTTTTGTTTTGTTTTTTCTTGCCAGGAACCATGAATTTTCCTTGATATCTTTTACTTGTTATTGAAACCAATGTGATAAAGTGGTTTAGGAAGGGATGGTTTGTCAGGACTTGGGAATTCTAGAAAATCAGACAATATAACAACCAACCAAAGGACTATGGAAATCATCTGGTCCCAGGGATAGAAAATAGATTTCATTTTGCTTTCCAACACTGATCAGTGAGAAGGGACTATCTAGTGGCTGAAGGATGAGTCGGGGTCCGTTTGAAGGTTGTGTCTTGGTGGAAGAATGTGTATGATCCAAAGTGACCAGTGATGGCTTTAAGACAGCCATGAAACCACAGCCCACGTGCCCCAGGGAGGTGAACTGGAGATACCAGGCTAATGCGATGCAGCCAAGTGCTCTAGCACAAGGTGATGGGGGTAAAACTCCCCTGAGTCTTGGACCTTGCTCCTTGGGCTCATCAGCAGCCAGCACTAGCCCCAAATTCCCAGGACACTTGGGCCCAGGAATCAGCACTGCAAATCACCAAGGCTGTGTACCTGTTAACGATTAATTTCCTGAGGTATGGACAAGAACACAATTCTGGAGAAGAATTCAAGTTTAACGATTGCTCACATGAGAAACCAAAGTATAAATGAAGAACAAAATAAAAGACAGACAACAGGAAATGGAAAGTAGGTCTTTTGCAAATGGGAAAAGAACCAAGAGACACTGGGAGGCGGGAGGGGATAGCGAAAGGGATATAAAAAAGAATGAAGTCATGACATACACGTGTATCAACTCTCTATGGTAAATGTGTTCATTATGCACCACAAACAGTTACTAAAACAGAATTCAGATTTAATTGTGGCTCTGGATAACTATGACATTTTCACTACTTCCCCACCCCCACCCTGCCCCATTAGTCTGCTTATTTCTTCCAAAGTCTTAAATTATAAGAAACAATAAACAAAACATTACCTGTCTTCTTTACAGTGACATTCTTAACTGCGCTATGGCAAAGGCCTTTCTGTGTTGTTCTTTCACAAGATTCCTTTGAGGTACACAATATCAGCACTCAGAAGACTCCCTCCAGGGTGGCACCAAAGGACTGCGTGTAAATACCTTGTACTCTGAGTCACTGACTTGAAGATAACCGGACTCAGTGCTGTTACCCTTGCACTACCAAGTTTTGAAAATTTGTTTTTTCACTTTAATTTTTTTTTAAATGTAAGAAAGAACTACAAATAGTGATTGAAATCAAACCAAGGTAAATTAATTGGGATTGTAGTTTATTATGCTCAAAAGTCAACTATCCAAGAGGGCTCGAGGAGGTGCTGCTCATGAACCCCCTGATTGCTGAACTCACACACAGCTACAGACCCATAGCACTCCAGACACCTCCGCCCTCAGTTGTGCACAGGGGAAATTATTTTTCCACTTCACTATGTACTGGAGTTAGTGTCTTTCTCCCTCTTCAAGCTTTCCCCTTCATTAGCTGAATCTTCACTCTGGATCTACTGTACTAGAAAACGTTTCCGCATCCCTCAGCCATTCACTATTTCTCTGAATTCTCCTTCATGCTCCACGTCTCTCTGGACACCTAGAGTGTGGTAGCTCTGAGACCTTCATAGGCTTCTGTCTAACAGTTTATTGTACAGGCTCCAGGCTCCTTTCTGGACCCAGAAACCACTCCCTCAAACAAGCCTCCTCATCCTCCTTTGACTGCATTTTGCAAAGCTGAGGCTCACAGAACTATACTAACTTGAGGTTATGTACTAAGGGACAAAGAGGGTAGGATTTCAAACCTAGGTCTTCAGACTCCAAGTATGAAATTTATTACAATACTCATGTTGGGGGCTGGGGATTTAGCTCAGCGGCATAAGCGCCTGCCTTGCAAGCAGGCAGTCGTGAGTTTGATCCCCGGTACCAATAAGAAGGAAAAAGACAAAAAAAAAAAAAAAGAAAGAAAGAAAAATCTGTCAGTCTGTCTCAAATTGCAGTATTCTACATAAATCTTTGCTCCAAAGTCATATTAACACCATTAATTACTCTTATTACAAAGCCACACTATCAACCGCAATATTTAAACTACTGACCTTTGCAATCAAAGCACACTCCCATTTAGACAGACATCAGTGATCTCATATGTCTGAGTATCTTTAAGACTGGGATGTATGTAAACATTCAAATGATAGGAAAACATGTTTAGCTGACTTCTTTTAAGCAATACATGAAATAACAGAATGTCTTACAATGGATGGTCTCTTGGATTCTATGAAATGAAGTATTTACTTATACTAATCTTATAGATTTCCAGAAAAAAATTGAGACAAATGACGAAGCAAAATGATCACGAGTTACAGTGCCCATACTTCATTTCTAAACAATCTCTAACAAGTGGCCGGTCTGGTCCCTTCTGAAGAATTAACTGACTGTGTAACAGGTAAAATGAGGCATTGTCAGCAGAATGGTACAGGAAGCCCCGTTTATGAAACTCAATTGTCAATACCTAAGAAGATAAACAGCTTTTGCTTTCTCCTAGTATCTTCACCTTTATTATCCATATCATAAGTGAGAGTTTGTTCAGTATTACACTCAGATTCACCGTCTAGGCCTTCGGTTCTACCTGATTCAGTTCTGAAACAGAAAAGTAAGGTCCAAGCTGGAGCAGGTCTATAATCTACAAGTCTGGAAGGGTGAGGCAGGGGGACTGCAAGTCAGGTCAACTTGGGCAACTGAGGGAAACCCTGCCTCAAAAGAAATTAAATCAAAAATGTCTCGATATATCCTCTAGGAGCATAAAGGCATTGGGTTCAATTCTTACTATTGAGAAAAAGAAAAGAAAAAAGGAGGAAGAGAGAAATTCAGAGGGAAGAGGAGGGGAGGAAGGGGAAAGTAAACACTAAAAGATTAAATGTTGGTTTCTAATTAGAAAATAAATCCAGCGGCCAGAGATTTAGCTCAGTGGCATAAGCGTCTGCCTGGCAAGTGCTAGGTCATGAGATAAATCCTCAATACCAATAAAATAAAATAAAAAATAAATCCAACATACAAACTTCCAAACATAAGAATCCAGAAGTGTTTCTCCCTGGCTCTGGTAACTCCAGAAATCACCTACATGATTTCTCTAGGGGATCAAGGCACCGGGTTGCTCATAAC